ACATGCCTGCTATGAGAGCCCACATGTCTCCCATGAGGCCAATGGGCTATATGCACGCCCGTTCACTTCTTGTCTATGCTATCCTATGGCTTTTAGGTGGGTTTTAGTGACGTTTTTTAGTAATTAGATTGATACATTCAGCTGAGACTGACCCAAAAGTGTCGCTGTGCTTTCTCTCTGAGGTAGAGCTTCGACTGTGGCCAATCAGAGTGTTGTGGCGCATTTAAAAGTTGGATGAACGCGTGCTTCGCTATGTGCAGGATGAATTATTGTGAGTAGAAATAATGTACCAGAGTATTGCAGATGTCCAGTCGGATATGCCAATCCATTTATTTTTGTTGAGAAGGATTATGATGATGATATTTACAGCTTTTTGGTTATTGTTTTAACACAAACGAAAAACATGCACGGTCACGAGCACGGTCAAAACCATTTGCCTCCTTAGCACCACCCCTGGCACTAGATTGGCTCACCTTTTATGCCTTTTTGGTAGAGCCACTCCCAGAGCGCCCTCTACCTGTATTGGCTCCAACATACCGGCCCCTAATTGTCTATGACCTTGACATAACAATTATTCAAAGTGGAGCCGAAATACAAATACCTTATTACATAATATCAAACAAAAAATACATATCCGACCAAGATTTTTCCTTTTTTTTTACATTTAACATTTCATTTGTTGCTTTACTTTATGCAACATTCACTCTTTTTTTTTTTTTTTATATATTTGCGGGAATAGAATTCATGTGTCATTCTCCAGCAACATGCATAATTTTGTTACTGGTCTTTTGATGGTACTTGCTTTTGTTTTGACTTCCACTGATCGAACCACTCCATGTGTGTCTGGAAACACATTTATTATTCTTCCAATGATCCAAGAATTGCGTGGGGCTGTAGAGTCTGCAATGAGGACAATGTCTCCGACTTTTAGATTTCTTTTTAATTGATTCCATTTTTGTCTTTCTTGTAAATTTGACAGATATTCCTTTGACCATCTTTTCCAAAAAAGATCAGCGATGCATTGAGATTGTTTCCATCTTCGACGAGCGTATAGATCTTGCTGGTCAAAGACACCAGGAGGAAGCGTTGGTTTACGTTTCAGAGTGAGCAGGTGATTAGGGGTCAATGGTTCCAAGTCCTCAGGATCATCGGACACTTTGGTTATAGGTCTGTCGTTCAGAATGACCTCTGCTTCACATAACACTGTGAGTAAAGCTTCATCAGTGAGAGTCTGCTGATGTAGTACAGAACATAGCACTTTCCTAATCAGTCTGATCATGCTCTCCCAAGCACCTCCATGGTGTGAAGCATAGGGTGGATTAAATGTCCATTTAATATCATCATACAATAATGTTTTCTGAATTTTGTCATGGTTTACATCTGCAATCACTTTCTTTAATTCTTTTTCAGCTGATGTGAAATTTGTGCCATTGTCTGAGCGGAAGTGCGAGACCGGTCCTCTTCTGCACATGAAACGTCGTATTGCACTGATACACGAATCTGTGTCCAACGAATGTGCCACCTCGATGTGGACTGCTCTGCTGACCATGCATGAGAATATTACTCCATATCGCTTCACATGAGAACGCCCGTGTTTAACTTCAATGGGTCCAAAGTAATCGACTCCAACATTTGTAAATGGAGGCAAGTCTGGAGTTACTCTCTCCCTGGGAAGATCAGCCATTTGCAGCCGCTTGTAACTAATACTTCCTCATGAGTCGATTCTTCCTCATGGGTCGATACTTTCTCATGGGTCAATACTTTCTCATGGGTCGATACTTTTATGCAATTTTTTCTGTAAATGGTTGAATGGAAAGATAAATGACAACATTTGTACATATGTTGTAAACATATTTGTTTACTATAACAATAAATCCATAAAATGGCATTAACATTATTAACATTCTGTCTTTCTGTTTAGACTCAGACCAAAACTATTGTTTGTTACAGGTGAGGGGCATTTCCAAACAGTCTGAGGCAGAATGTCATTACATCTGTTTGATTTGCTCATAACCTTTTACTTTTGGGCACAACTAACATGAACTGGTAGTGCAAGGGAAAAATTAGGTACCCCAGCTTTAAGTCAGCGACTTTAGCTGCGTTTCAGGTAGAGTTTCGTTCGGGCCTGAAAAATGAAGCCCGACCCGGCCCGAGCCCGCTAATGTTAAGCCCGAGCCCGTATAAGCCCGACCAATGAACGCTGTATAACAGGCCCGAGCCCGACAGAACCCGACACATCTGATTTCCCGTTGTACGCACTCACCTTCCAATTGCAAGTTTAGTCTCCACTTTTGAATTTGTTTTGTCTCCACTTGATCCATTTTGTTCCTGTTCGCTGTTGACCACAGCATGCAGCAGGAGACACGGGGATGATGCGTTCACGGCTCGCTGCTGCTGTAGGACACGCTTGGTACGGTGTCATTAATATATTGACTTTTTTTAATAACTTGTTGTCAATCAACGGACATTGTTATTAATATATATATATATATATATATATGCATATCATTATGTATAAAAATCATTTAAAAATAATTATAATAATGATAAAAAAGAAACATATATTTAAAAAAAGAAGCCCGAGCCCGGCACGAACCCGACAGCTGAGCGCCAAATGAGGCCCGAGCCCGGCCCGAACTCAGGTCGGGCCTCGGGCCTGCTCGGGCTCGGGCTGAAAAGCGAAACTCTAGTTTCAGGAGGAGACAAGGACACTTCCTGAGGCTCCATGGTCCAGCTTCAGAGCTGTATTTATTGCATGCACAGGTTACACAAAGACACGCACACAACAAGCAGAGAATAGTTCTGTGGCGTGTGTCTTACGGCGGAGCTGTTCGCAGCGTTGTTAAAACGGGTCACAGCTGCTGGAGGTGGGGACTGCTGTCCAGAGCGGCCGCAGCCGGCCCGGGTCAGAACGCTGCGGCTACGGAGGATGCAGAATCCCGTTCGAGTTCATAGCAAACAACAAGTCACAGACATTTGTGCAAATGATAAGCATCGACAATTTATCTCATTTCTTCATAAAAAATTATATGTCAATATGTCAAATTGATTGCGTTAACGCACGTAAATAAATTGTTTTAATTAATCGCGTAAAAAAAAAAAAACGCATTGATGCATGTACGGAATGACCCGCCCATGCATCCTATAATAACACCCGCGGACACATGCGTGTGTAGGATGGCGACAGAGCAGGTAGGCCCTCTGGGAATTCAACACGCCGAACAGCGCCGCTGTAGCATCACACACACAGGACTATTCTCTGCTTGTTGTGTGCGTGTCTTTGATGCAATAAATACACCTCTGAAGCTGAACTACGGAGCCTCAGTCTCCTTTGTGTTTCTCCCGAAACGCAACTAAACTTGCTAAATGAAAGCTGGGGTACCTAATTTTCCCCTTGCACTACCAGTTCATGTTGGTTGTGCCCAAAATTTTTATGTTGTGAGCAAATCAAACAGATTTAATGACATTCTTCATTTCAGACGTTTGACAGCCCTAATATTACAACCAAGTCATAGTCTAACGAGTCCTTACAAGTTCTCACAGAGTCGTTCCCACTGCTTCCCTCAGAGAAAACACATATGTCAAATATCACAATAGGTTTTGGTAAAACTGGCAGATATAGAGATTTGAAGTTTTTCATTAGAATATTACATTTTTAAAAGAGGATCCTTTTATTACTACAGGATACTGTATGTTTAGTATATTTAGGACTGTGTTACATATAAACTATATTTAACCCTGATTCTGATCCGTTTCAAGGTTATAATAAGTAATAAATACCATGTAGTTGATTTTTTTTTTTTAGAACAAGGCTTTATGGTATCTTCCACAACACATATATAAACACAACAAAACAATGTTTTACAATTTTGACATTTCTGAAAATATCGGCAGAAAAAACAAGACTGTGGTGTTAGATCATTTTTGACCCGACAAAGTAAAACTACACAATACATGTAAAACTATACAAACATACATCTGATCCCTCCTCCTTTCTCCAAGAGAACACATTTTTTCTTACATCAAAGCGAGAAAAGAAATTTGACACCAACACCACCAACGTAACTATAACCAATATGAAGCTCTTCGCGAAAATTCACTGTGGTAGACCCGGCCACTGCTGCCAGATCTACAAGCCTGCTCATCCTCTACTCATTACACCAGCAAAACGCCCACATCTAATCCACCAATAACCACCAGGACAGCAAGTTAAAAGCCGGAGACGTCCACTTCCCGGCCTTCTGAAGTTGCAAAGCCTCCGCCGCCCTACCTCCTCCTTCTCTCATCGAAGCGTGCTTGCCTACTGCCTCTGCCGTCACCAGTGCCTAGGCCCCGGGGGGGATTATGCGCGCGAGCAAGCGCCGCACTCATCAGCATCTCTCCCGGGCCTAGGGCGCCAAACATACTCAATCAACAAACTTCTAACTGCATTTTCCCTCTTGGGTCTCTCCAAAGTGAAATATTTATATATGTTCAACCTTTTTCAAGTCAGAAAACATCTATGGAAAATTTTCAGCATGAAAATAAGGGAGATGATCCGTCTTGGGGGCCACAAAATGGTTTTGAAATCAGAATCAGAATCATTTTTATTGCCACGTAAGTAACAGGAGGTCACAGACTTGGAAATTGCTTTGGCTCAGTGCAACAGTCAGAAAGAGATAATAAAAATAAGAATAAAAAACACTTCTAAAGAATACATTTAAATTTAAATCATATAATGTTAGTTAAGATGTTAGTTAACGATATCGAGTGAAACTTCTTTCTTTTTAGAGGTCAGGACTGAGTTAGACGCCGGGTCAAAATTAACTTGCTAAAAACAGGCAGTGGTGCCGGTTCCTACCACAACATGAGAGTTAAGACACTTCCTCATCTTTGCAGAACTATAATATTGTTTTTTTTCTGGACGCTCAAAGTCTCTTCACATCCTTGTTCTTTCACTCCAAACACAGTGGTGAACAGACTGAACCATTACAATGAGAATCCTCCAGGCAGAAAGCACTCTACAGATATAAGATACACACTCCCTGCAAACACAGACAGAAAACACTTTATTATCACCCAAACTTTAATCCTAACTTTCAGCATTAGATACTTTACCGTAACAGCGCCTCCGGCCGCAAAGACCAAGAGAAGAACGGTGAGGACAGATTTAGAACTGTGTCCGATCAGATCAACAAACACAAAGACCAGAAACTTCAGGACGAGAAGCACCAAAGCAGGTCCCCAAAACTACACAGAAACAGACACAAGAGGAAGTGGTTCACTTTCAGGGTCAGTGGTTCTGATGCGGACGCAGCTCTTACCCACAGCACAGAGGACAGGATCAGGTAATGGAGAACCTTTAGAAAACATAAAAGAAATATGTCAAAAATAAAGACATATATCATAATAATTTGTGTCTATCGTGTCCCTGTTGTCAATTCATTTCTATTTTACATTTACATATATTGTCTTAATTTTAACTCGATTGTTTTGCAGTGTTTTTCAACCTGTGGGCCCTGAGATGTGTGCTGTGCCTCTGGCTTTAATCCACTATCACCAAATGGTCAAAATGAGTTGAAAAATGATAGAAAATTAGAAATACTTTGATGAGAATTACTTTGCTAGATCTTAGAAAGAGCAGCCTTTGGAAACAAATACTTAAACTGCCTTTGTTGAGAAAGCACATTTCAGTATTATCGCACGAACGGCTCATTAAGGTGGACGTACAAAAGTTTTGGCTTCAGTACAGTTTTACCAACACTGTTTCAGCTGGTGGTGTGTGGCCCTGAAAGGCTGCAGGAAACAGGCAACATTTGGCTCTGTCCCATTGGCAAATTGGCACAAGAAAAACAGACAGTTGTCATTGCTGCTTGAAGCAATAGTTTACACACCAGAAAGTCTCATTCCTTTGTTTACACACTAAGATAATTGTAGAGCTACACACCTGAACCTAAGTCACAGAATTGTCTCAGTAGAAGTGACTGTCAACTGATGTAATTTAATTTTAATCCACTAGATGGCGCCAGAATACTCTAACTCGCTGCTGGTTTGTGGGAGACTTGGATGCTTTTATACCACAGGCGCAGAGAGACACACGTCACACAGAACCAACTGACATCACACATCACTCCAGAGCCAATGGAGAGGCCAGGTACAAAATTCAAATGTAGTGCCACCAAAAAGCTAGAGAGGGCGCCACACAGACGGTTTTAGGCTCAAAAGTGAGATTTTATCTAATTTGCACTAAAATGTCAAAAAAAATGATGAGGACATGTAGAGAGCACTATAAGAAACATATTAATGCAGTTTATGAGTTAAAAAAATGTTGATATGGGGTTTGGTTGTCCTTTAAGGCAGAAAGTGCTCAGATTTAGCCAAGTTTTAGCAATGTATGACTAATTTTTCATCACTGTTTGCAGTGTGGGTTCTGGCCAATATAAAAAGAACACTTTTTCATGTCCATGGCAACGCACCTTTAAGTTTGAAGGCATCTTTTAAATGCACTCACCTTCAGAAGCTTTTCCTTGACGTCATCTTCGCTACTTTTGTTTCTTTTCCCGTTGTCTGTTCTGTCTTCTTTCTTTCCGGGGTTCTTGTCGTGCACGACAACATTAGCATCGTCCTGAATCTGTTTTGTCCGTGTCTTTTCCAGATCCCTGAAAACCTGACCTGCAACTCCACCGAGTCCCCCAAGAGTCAGAGACCCCAGAAAGTCCAGGTCGCCCAGAGCCAGAGCTGCAGCCAGAGCCCCCAGGGCCCCCAAGATGGCAAGGGCCACTGGATGGATCTCTGCTGGCTTTCTCTTACCCCCCACGTCTCTGTCATGTTCACTCACAACGAGAATAACAAATGTCCCTAGGATTCCAATAACCAAAGCACAAAGCCAACCATGTCCACCCATAGAAGCCCCCAGACCACTGGACACAACCACAGACAGTAGTCCCAGTCCATCCAGTCCTCTGAAAACCCGATAACCAAACCCACTGAGCCCCCCCATGATGAACGCTGAAATTACTCCCAGCCCTCCAAAGAACAGACCCATGATCCCAGCGATCCGGACCAGAGCCAGGACTTCCATGGCCCCCATCACTCCCAGCAAGACACCTCCCATACGTTGGCGTGTTCCCAGTCCCAGATCCACCACCGCCGTCAGAGTGAAGAAGAGGATGCCGAGTTTGGGGAAAAGCAGTGCACATAAAACCTGCGAGAAAGGGAATCTGTTGAGCATATGTTTAAAGTAAATCTAACTAAAGAATATTTGAATGGTGGTGTCACCTGAGCGAGACTGCCCTTCTCTTCGTTAAAGCGTTCGATGTATGTCTGCCACGTAGCATCATCCTTTACAGATATTACCTTTAGGTCTTTTTTATATAGATTTAAGAAAATCTTTAATCTTACCAGATGGACATTAGCCAACACTTTCTTCACCAGTGCGGACGCCCCCTAGAGGAAATGTTAAGTATTGCTAGTCTTCTGCAGTGTGAGAACGTGACAGTCTATACTTACATTCACGGCAGATGTCACTTTTTTTTCGACCTCGATATTAATATATTCATGCATCCCCTCAGGGTGTGTGGTCAAGAATATCAGACTGTGACACAGAGAAATACACTTCAACAAGAACCAAATCCTGGGTCTACATTCTCAGTCCTGGATCTACAGCCTCAGTCTTGGATCTACAGTCTCAGTCCAGGATCTACAGCCTCAGTCCTGGGTCTAGTCAGTACTGGATCTACAGCCTCAGTCCTGGGTCTACATTCTCAGTCCTGGGTCTACATTCTCAGTCCTGGATCTACAGCCTCAGTCCTGGATCTACAGCCTCAGTCCTGGGTCTACAGCCTCAGTCTTGGATCTACAGCCTCAGTCCTGGGTCTACATTCTCAGTCCTGGGTCTACATTCTCAGTCCTGGATCTACAGCCTCAGTCCTGGATCTACAGCCTCAGTCATGGGTTTACAGCCTCAGTCCTGGATCTACAGCCTCAGTCCTGGGTCTACAGCCTCAGTCCTGGGTCTACAGCCTCAGTCCTGGGTCTACATTCTCAGTCCTGGGTCTACAGCCTCAGTCCTGGGTCTACAGCCTCAGTCCTGGGTCTACAGCCTCAGTCCTGGGTCTACAGCCTCAGTCCTGGGTCTACAGCCTCAGTCATGGGTTTACAGCCTCAGTCCTGGATCTACAGCCTCAGTCCTGGGTCTACAGCCTCAGTCCTGGGTCTACATTCTCAGTCCTGGGTCTACAGCCTCAGTCCTGGGTCTACAGCCTCAGTCCTGGGTCTACAGCCTCAGTCCTGGGTTTACAGCCTCAGTCCTGGATCTACAGTCTCAGTCCTGGATCTACAGCCTCAGTCCTGGGTCTACAGCCTCAGTCCTGAGTCTACAGCCTCAGTCCTGGGTCTACAGCCTCAGTCCTGGATCTACCGCCTCAGTACTGGATCTACAGCCTCAGTCCTGGGTCTACATTCTCAGTCCTGGGTCTACAGCCTCAGTCCTGGGTTTACAGCCTCAGTCCTGGATCTACAGCCTCAGTCCTGGGTCTACAGCCTCAGTCCTGGATCTACAGCCACAGTCATGGGTTTACAGCCTCAGTCCTGGATCTACAGCCTCAGTCCTGGGTCTACAGCCTCAGTCCTGGGTCTACATTCTCAGTCCTGGGTCTACAGCCTCAGTCCTGGGTCTACAACCTCAGTCCTGGGTCTACAGCCTCAGTCCTGGGTCTACAGCCTCAGTCCTTTGTCATTAGTCTGACACTGACCTGCCCAGAGAGCAGATGGTTCCAATGGTGTAAATTATACAGAACATGTTGAAGCCAAGAGGAAACAGAAGCATAAACACTCCCTGCAAAAAAAACAAAAGAATGAAGAAACAAATTATCTACAAGGAAATAAAAAAATAAATCTTTCCCTCCGTCTACCAGCTCTGACTCTAGAACACGCCACAGTCTCCAACACAGAGGCAGCCTGGGAGAAACTCCAGAAACATGGGTTTATACTGCGCTTTAATACACTCAAAGTCTCTAGGCATCACATGATAAACCGTAGCCACAGCTGCCCTGGGGCACACTGACAGAAGCGAGGCAACCAGTCTGTGCCATCGGCCCCTCCCACCACCACCAACCATTCACACACACACCAGACTCATTCTAATGTGGGGGAAGAGTCTTGCCTAAGGACACCCTCCCATCACAGTACTAACCAGGCCCGGCCCTGCTTAGCTTCAGAGATCTCGCATCACAGATATAATATACATGTGTAGGTGTTCTCTCCAACTCTACAGATATAAGATACATGTGTAGGTGTTCTCTCCAACTCTACAGATTTAAGTTACATGTGTAGGTGTTCTCTCCAACTCTACAGATATAAGATACATGTGTAGGTGTTCTCTCCAACTCTACAGATTTAAGTTACATGTGTAGGTGTTCTCTCCAACTCTACAGATATAAGATACATGTGCAGGTGTTCTCTCCAACTCTACAGATATAAGATACATGTGCAGGTGTTCTCTCCAACTCTACAGATATAAGATACATGTGTAGGTGTTCTCTCCAACTCTACAGATTTAAGTTACATGTGTAGGTGTTCTCTCCAACTCTACAGATATAAGATGCATGTGCAGGTGTTCTCTCCAACTCTACAGATATAAGATACATGTGTAGGTGTTCTCTTCAACTCTACAGATATAAGTTACGTGTGCAGGTGTTCTCTCCAACTTTCAGAAGCAGAAGCAAAATATTAATTCTTACCAAAACTTTGCAGCCGACTCCAAACTTGAAGCACAGGTTGAACTCAGGGTTTTCCCACTTAGGACCATGGAGATTCACATACCAGAAACTGGCCACGACTTGGAGACAGCAGACCATCAAGGACAAGAGGACACTGTCAAACTGGAATACATGTACACACACACACACATATACACACACACACACACATAGACACATTATAATATACATATATATATATATATATATATATACATATAATTATATTCACAGATGTAGTATTTATGTCCTCACCACCGCCGCAGAAAACGCCATCGCAAACGAACCCTGCAGGAAACAAAAACATGAAACCCCTTTCATTGCGTAGTTTTAATGTTTTTGAGTCTTATGTAAATATTGATTAGCATTGTTTCTGTATAATGTATTTGGAAAAATGCTACTAAAGCATTCAGCACCTCACTGTGGCCTAGAGCAGAGAAAATGAATGCTTTGTTTTAAGGAAACGCACCGTAACATAAACATGAACACCATAAACATGAACACCATAAGCATCAACACCATAAGCATGAACACTGTAAATATGAACACCAGAAGCATGAACACCATGAACACCATAAGTATGAACACCATAAGCATCAACACCATAAACATGAACACCAGAAGCATGCACACCATGAACACCATAAGCATGAACACCATAAACACCATAAGCATGAACACTATAAACACCATAAGCATGAACACCATAAACACCATAAGCATGAACACCATAAACACCATAAGCATGAACACCATAAACACCATAAGCATGAACACTATAAACACCATAAGCATGAACACCATAAACACCATAAGCATGAACACTATAAACACCATAAGCATGAACACTATAAACACCATAAGCATGAACACCATAAACACCATAAGCATGAACACCAAACCCCGATTTTACACATAAACAATCTAAAAGACATGTTTTGGTTTTTGCACAATATATAAAATGTTAGAAGGCAATAAATGCTTTAGTATTTTTAAATTCTATTCCTATCTTAAGCACTGGCAGTTTCTCCTTCACTTTTCTTTGACAGATTTTACAGACGAGACACAAATAAATACAAATTCTTCTTCAGTGTGACGTACGTTCAGGTTAAATACTGTATCTTACACAAACATCACATTAAAACTCATCACTTACAAATATCAGGTTCAGCACTTGGCCTGCCTCCATCTTGAACGGCGGGACGAGAAGCTGCTCCATCTCTGGGCTCAGTGCATTTCTGGAGTTGGAGGCCACGTTTTAAACACTGCCTGCTCTGCTCTGATTGGTCGAAAATCTCAAAGTGATACAAGGAAATGTAAGATAAAGGTGAATAAGGAAGTACATGTCCTTATGAAAGCTTTAATTCAGACGTGATCTTTATATAAATAATACATTATTAACACAATACAATTACATTAAAGAATCACATTTACACATTGATCTGAAAAAACAGAAAGTTTCAATATTTACTCCATTCATAATGTGTGTGTGTGTATGTGCGAGTCTCTGTCTGTGTGCGTCTGTGTGCGTGTGTCTGTGCGAGTCTCTGTCTGTGTGCGTCTGTGTGCGTGTGTGTGTGTCTGTGCGAGTCTCTGTCTGTGTGTGTCTATGTGTGTGTGTGTTTGTGTGTCGGTGTGTGTCTATGCATGTGTGTGTCTGTCTCTGTGCGAGTCTCTGTCTGTGTGTGTCGGTGTGTGTCTATGCATGTGTGTGTGTGTGTGTCTGTCTCTGTGCGAGTCTCTGTCTGTGTGTGTGTGTGTGTGTGTGTGTATCTAGGTTAGTGACAGTGATAGACTCAGTACCTGTAGGATGACGAAGAGCCCAAAGTTCTTAAACTGAAGAAGAAGAAAATCTAAATTTTTCATCATCAACTTCAACTTCAGAAAAGCTTATTAAGTTTGTATCTTATTTGTTTAACTTAGAGAATAATTCTATATCATATCTTTTTAAGTTTAAATTTATGTCTTTCTGTCTGCTTTATTATTTTGGATTTTCTATGTTTTTAGCCCAAATTACTAATTTCTCAATTTCTTTCACCAAATGTGAATAGTGGGTCTGTGGCAATCGGTATAAATGCTGGCAGTCAATTAAGCCTTTGAATGAGATTGATACCTCTTCCCAAATCCAAGAGAGCTGCTGTTTCTCCACGTTGAGAGGAACTAAGCGAGCTCCAGACTGCATTTAAGCAGCTTAAGTTTTCCCGCCATCGGCTGAAGCTGGTGCTGAATGCAAAAAAATGACTTTTACAAGAGGCCATTCCAATTCTGTTATGCACGGCGGACTTTAAACCCTTCAGGGAGAGCCTCTTGGAAAAGTCACCTGCGCTAAGTATTTAGGAATGTGGGTAGTCGCTTTCACTACTACGTTGCGCATGTGTTAAAAAAGCTGAAAGGTTCTTCTGAGCTTTTACCAGAGACATAAGAGCTGTTTGAAGCCTAAGGCGAGGAAAACACTTGTTCAGACCACCTTCCTCTATGTTCTGGATTATGGGGACATTATTTACATGAATGCAGCATCCTGAGCACTCCACCGTCTGGACACAGTCTATCACGCTGCTCTACGTTTCATTACCAACTCTGCCTTCAGGACCCGTCATTGTGAGCTGTACTCCCAGCTCTCATGGCCCTCACTGAGCCTCAGGAGACACCGCCACTGGCTCATCTTCATCATCTTCATCTACAAAGCCATCATAGGAAAGCTGCCCTCATACCTGTGCGGACTCCTGACCCCAGCCAACAGTGGATATAACTCCCGCTCCTCCCAGCGACTCCTGTTTTACATCCCCAGAATAAAGACTGAACTGGGCAGATTGGCCTTGGCACCATGGGCTTGGAAAAATATCCAAAACTTCCATCCATCCTTCCATTTTCTTCCCCTTAATCCATTTCTGGTTTGGGGGGGTGGCAGTCAGAGCTGCACCCAGTACACAGAGCACCAGCCCCTCACTGATCCTCCTGCAGGTGGTGAGTCCACAGGAGCTGAGATCTTTCAGGGGGGCTTCAGGCCAAGTGGGGTTAAGTGTCTTGCCCAAGGACACAACGACAGCAGACATCAATGAGAGTTGTTAAGCAGTTCTTACAGTGGGCTCGAACCCACAATCTCCAGGCCCACAGGCCAATGCTCTGCCAACTGAGCCACTGTCACCCCAAAACTTGTTGCAGTTAAAATAACTTTTTCCCCTGGTCTCATTTGGGTGGCACGGTGGCGGAGTGGATAGCACTCTCGCTTAAAGAAGGAGGCCGAGGACTAGTGAGTGTGAGAGCCACTGTCCAGGACGAAACATCCAAACTCCATAACTACATCATGGAGAAGGCCAAAACGGATGACGTACTCAGTGAATGTCTCAGGCAGTGGCGAGATGAGGAGGTGCTGGAGGAGAGCCTATCATGGGAGAACAAGCCCCTACACGGCATGTACCACCGGAGCATAACAGAAGTGGCTGATCTCAAGAAGTCCTACCAATGGCTAGAAAGGGCTGGCCTACAGGACAGCACAGAGGCACTCATCATGGCTGTACAGGAACAGGCACTGAGCACCAGAGCGATAGAGGCCCAGATATACCACACCAGACAAGACCCAAGGTGTCGGTTGTGCAAAGAGGTACCTGAGACGATCCAACACATAACTGCAGGGTGCAAGATGCTGGCAGGGAAGGCCTACATGGAACGCCATAACCAAGTGGCTCGCATAGTGTACAGAGACATCTGTGCAGAGTATGGGCTGGAAACTCCAAGGTCTAAGTGGGAAACTCCTCCAAAGGTGGTGGAGAATGAGCGTGCAAAGATCCTGTGGATACAGACCGACCGGATGGTAATGAACCAACCTGACATCGTGGTGGTGGACAAAGGGCAGAGGACAGCCGTGGTGGTAGACAAAGGGCAGAGGACAGCCGTGGTGGTAGACAAAGGGCAGAGGACAGCCGTGGTGGTGGACGTGGCAATTCCAAGCGATGGTAACATCGGCGACAGTAGCTCAGTTGGTAGAGCATTGGCCTTCAGGCCTGAAGGTCGTGGGTTCAATTCCCACCTCTACACCTTCTCCACCGACTCCCACTGATGACTGTTGTCGTTGTGTCCTTGGGCAAGACACTTAACCCCACTTTGCCCAAAACCCCCACTGAAAGATTAAGGCTATGCTCACACTCAGAGAGCAGCCGTCCTCCTGTGGACTCACCACCTGCAGAGGGTCAGTGAGGGGCTGGTGCTATGAGACTTGGGTGGCATCTCTGATTGCCACCCCCCTGACCCAGAAATGGATTAAAGGGTAGAAAATGGATGGATGGTAACATCCGGAAAAAGGAACATGAAAAGCTTGAGAAATACCAAGGTCTCAGAGAGGAGCTGGAGAGGGTCTGGAGGGTAAAGGTGACAGTAGTGCCCGTGGTGATCGGTGCACTCGGGGCAGTGACCCCGAAGCTAGAAGAATGGTTACAGCGGATCCCCGGAACAAACTCGGACATCTTGGTCCAGAAATGTGCAGTGCTAGGAACAGCAAAGATACTGCGCAGAACCCTCAAGCTCCCAGGCCTCTGGTAGAGGACCCGAGCTTAGAGAGGGATAACCGCCCACGGAGGGCCAAAGGTGAGTGGACAATTTTTTTTTTTTTATATGTACATGCAACTGCACATTGTCCTTAGTAAATCAAACTTCATTCTGATCTTAGGGAGAAAGAGGCAGCCGATCCCCTGCAGATACAAAGACCCCCTGCAGAGACAGAGACCTCCTTTCATACAGAGACCTCCTTTCATACAGAGACCTCCTTTCATACAGAGACCTCCTTTCAGACAGAGACCTCCTTTCATACAGAGACCTCCTTTCATACAGAGACCTCCTTTCATACAGAGACCTCCTTTCAGACAGAGACCTCCTTTCAGACAGAGACCTCCTCCTTTCAGACAGAGACCTCCCTTCAGACAAAGACCTTCTTTCATACAGAGACCTCCTTTCAGACAGAGACCTCCTTTCATACAGAGACCTCCTTTTATACATAGACCTCCTTTCAGACAGAGACCTCTTTTCAGACAGAGACCTCCTTTCATACAGAGACCTCCTTTCATACAGAGACCTCCTTTCATACAGAGACCTCCTTTCAGACAGAGAGCTCCTTTCATACAGAGACCTCCTTTCAGACAGAGACCTCCTTTCATACAGAGACCTCCTTTCAGACAGAGACCTCCTTTCAGACAGAGACCTCTTTTCATACAGAGACCTCCTTTCAGACAGAGACCTCCTTTCAGACAGAGACCTCCTCTCAGACAGAGACCCCCTTTCAGACAGAGACCTCTTTTCAGACAGAGACCTCCTTTCAGACAGAGACCTCCTTTCAGACAGAGACCTCTTTTCAGTTTAAGAGCCTCAGGAAGCGCTGCTTGTCAGGATATGGCTGCCTTTTAAACTGCCCGCTTTGCTGTGAAAGGGTTGGCAGGAGGCTGGCCGGGCTGTGTGATTGGCTGAGGCTCGAGGCTGGCAGACCTGTGTGATTGGCTGAGGCTCAAGGCTGGCAGAGCTGTGTGATTGGCTGAGGCTCAAGGCTGGCAGAGCTGTGTGATTGGCTGAGGCTCGAGGCTGGCAGAGCTGTGTGATTGGCAGGCTTGGAAAGGGGAATTTGCACTGGGTCTTTCAGTCTGAACCTGCGCATTCAGCTTCATTTCAATCTGAAGAGACCAAAGACACAATTAATACAATAAAAGACAGAGACCCCAACAGCCTCCATGTAAAGCATTCAGTTTTTACAGCAGATGGTGAAGAATCTGACTCTGGATCAGTTTTGTGTCGTCGGCTTAAACAGGGACAGATGTTTCTGTGTAGTAATCACTGGATTGTTCTTCAATAATCATTTGTTTGGGCGGATAATTTATAAAATACTGTGTAACCATTATTCAACCCCTGTA